CTTGGTGTGACAGTAACTACATATTTGGTCAATTCATCTAATAATAACATTCTTCTGCTCTTAATCGCCTGGCTTTTTTCTGTATTAACTGAAATCTGGCCTCAAGCTGTTCTGATATTTTTGTTGCTCTGGATGCCCTGGCCTTTTCTTGCTTTAGTTGAAGTGTGACCTGACAATGTTTTGATGTCTCTGCAATCCTGGATGCATTAGCTGTTTCCTGGTTATTATTAAGTCCCCAATCAGTTCTGTGGTGTAGATTCCCCCTTAGAAATATAATGGAGGCATCCACAGAGAAGAGGCAGGCAAAGTGAGCAAGATGTGGGAAATGGTCCATAATAATCACCCAAACCACTCTACCACAGGTTAAAAAAATTGATACTCTATGGTAGCATCATCCACGATCTCCCCACACCCTGTTGTTGTACACACAAAAATATTTCTAGCCAAAATATTAAATGAAATGTGTTGAAAGAGTTGATTTACAGGCGCATGCAACAAGGCATGAATGTCTTTTGAAGTCCAATAATATCTTTCCCTTCTCTTCAATAAAACTATTTCATATTGGGTTCAAATTGTCCTTTCCTTTCTCAGCCTACATCACAATTTGATCCAGCCTTATTATACCAGGTCATCACAAATATAGATCTTTCCATAATCAGTGGTTGTCAGCAACTTATCAATCAAACTTTTGTGATGTCCCTTTACATTGACTCCTTGAAAAAAAGCACAGGGAGGTCAACTAAAAATAGGTCACAGGCATAAAATTTAATGTAGATGGTTGCTGAATGATTTGACAAGTAGTTAATGAGGTACAAATGAAACTGAAATTGAAAATTTTTAATTCACACTGCTAACAAAAATGTAATTGAATATAAATTCATAGCAGAGCAAAGGATTCATCCTTCACATTTAGGCTTATTGTAATGTGATTCATACTATTGTCTAAACAGTACGTGTGTAAGGCTAATTTCACTATGGTTGGTTGTAATAAATAATTTTATAATTTTGAGCTTCAAAATGTCTTAGGTAKAGCATCTCTACCATGCTGTATGATGTAGGTAGAAACATAGATYRATAAAAGAATGCATATTTCTGTTCGTTCACTTAAAGAAGATAAWTTTCAGGATTTGGGGGGGGGGGGGGTTGAGCAATTTTTTTTCTAAAAAGGGGGAAATAGGCCAATAACTTTGGGAACCTCTGATTTAYACTTATGTATTCATYTTCACTCACACATTTGTGTTCTTCAAGTATAACCTCTGTACTTTTATTAATATTTRTGTCTATTGGAACCATTTCTTTAGTTTTATAGATAGCAGGCCTGCTTGACCTTCAAAGWGGCTACAAAACTGCAAAGCAGAGTGATGAACAARATGTACAGATCAGTTAGCACATCATTTTGGTCTACAGACAAAACAACAGTCATGGGCCTCTTTCTTGCTGTGAACCAGGAAACTAAGTGAAATATAATAGGCAAGAGCTAAAAGGCCCATGAAGAGCACCATGGTTTGTATTTCTGTAAGAGAAATAGAAAACAACAACATTGTGATGCATCTGTTCCCTTTCTCATGTTTCTTTTTGGCAACTCTATGTTATTGGACTTCCAACTTTGTTCAGACTCACATTAAATGCAGATTGTTTTTTTTTAAAGAAAAGTAATACAATCCAAAATGCATCTGCAAGCAATGTAATAAACATGTGACATAAAATGTGTATTAGCACAAAGATTGGATCTTTTTGATATTCCACCTCGAATACCCTTAGTGTGTGATATCTTCTTGCTTTCCTTCATTGCATTCTTTTCTAAGTTCAAGGAGCAGGAAAGAATGGGAGTCCTTTCGAATTGACTATCAGTGGGGGAGAAGTTAAGGTATACTTACATCTGTTTGCTTATTGCTAAGGGTACACAATTTGCTTTTTTTCCAGACATACCACTACTTTATATCATTGTTGCTTGGTGGTTGAGAAGGAAGAAAAATATTGAATCTACAGACTTACCTGATACTGTAAGGAATATACTGTATAAAACATTTATTGTCTTTATACTTCATATGGCAACAATTAAAATGTGCATTGTTTCAGAGTAATGCAATTAATTACCAATTAATTAATTGTATTTAAGGAACTCAATAAGGAAGGGATAAATTGGCAAAATAGAGAAATATTAAGGAACTAATTAGACATACAACTATTATTATTAATTCATAGTTTAAATGATTAAAGAGGAAATATATATTAATTGGCTGTAATCTATTCTATTCTAGTCCAATTCAACAAGAAGTAAAACGCCAAATATTAGAAGGTGTTGAAGCCAGATGACAGCGAAGGGGGTTACGGAGAAAGAAAGAGATATTCGCACATACGGTAGAAGAGGCTCATTAGATATAAACCCAAAGATGGAGAATATACTGAAAGAAATAAAGGCATTAAAAAAGGACATGACAGATAAACAAGAAGAACATTTTAATAAACAAGAAGAAAACTATAAGAATATGACAGAAGAATTTAAAGAGCTGAAGAAAGAGATGAAAGAAGAATTTGGCCAAATGAAGAAGGATATAACCCATCTACATAGAGAGGTGAACGAATTGAAAAGTAGTAAGGAAAAGAATGAAGAAATACAATCTCAGATACTGAAAAAGATTAAAGGACTAGAGAAACAAAATGAAAAATTAGAATTGGAACAAGAAATTTTTTTACAGAGACAAGTGGACTACCAACTACGTTTCAGAAACATCATTGAAGAAAAGAATGAAGACATCAAAAAATAATGTTTGGACTATTGGCTAACAATATGGAATGTGAAGAAGATGAGCTGGAACAAGATTTAGATCAAATTTATAGAATTTCCTCCTTTTATGCAAGGAAAAATAAGACACCGAGAGATGTAATTGTGCAATTCTCAAGAAGAACAACTAGGGATGAAGTCCTATACAAAAGCAATAAGAATCCAATTTTTTATAAACATTGCTTAACTTAAACGGATTTACTTCTGAGTAGGCATATAACTTCTTTGGAGCTCATAATAATTCTTACTAGGAAAGTTTCCATGAAAATTATACTGTGCTCATAATAAAGCTGCTCTGGCAATTACAAAATTAGATGCATTGCTCCATTTCTTGTCCCTCACCCCCCCCCCCAAAAAAAAAACTAACATTGGAATGAGGAGTTCCAGTGATGCCATTAAGGTTGGTGTTGTTGGAATTCAACCCCACACTGTCCAAGTCTGCAGGCCTCAATGAGGAACAGTTAGCTTAGGAATAGGTTAAGAGAATCCCTTCCCCCTTGTCTCATGAATGGCAGTTGGAATGTATCTATTGGTTCTTTAGTATTACAAAATGTAGTTATTATTTTTGTAAGTAACCCTATTGTATTTTTAAAGATTGAACTCTACATCTTTGCTTCCTAAACTCTAAATTCTTTTCGGCCACAACATCTCATGCTCTGCTTGCTGTGAGCTGAATGCTCAACTATAAGTATCCTGTTTGTATTTTGGATGCTCTGCTGTACTTTTGGGAGCTTTCCCTAACAGGTGTGACCTAGTGTGGGTAATTCATGGTGTCATCCCTATCCCAGACAAAACCAGACCAGAATATGGTAGCGAAAGTGCCAGCATCTTATCATATCCACACCCACTGCCTCTCCTGCATTGTGAGATTGTGAATGTGTGTGCATGCGCACATCCAGCCATTCGTTCTTTGCTCCTATTGTTGCCCGTGGACCACCGCAGGAACAGAACCAATGCAATACAATCAGCCAACTCGCCAGAGAACGGGGCAAGACCTAGTAATTTAAAATATATGTCTAGCGCATTCAGCAGTAAAAAATGTGTCAATCAACAATCAGAACGGTAAATTATGTCCATTTTCACACTTTAATGCACACCACACAAAAGCATGTGCTTTTTAGCTTATGAAGGGAAAAAACAAGCTGCTGCTGCTGAAATCAAAAGTTGTTTTATTTTACATCCAACTGATGGGAGAGTTGAATTTCTGTAAATAAATCCAGCCAAAAGGGGAAGAACAGAGCTCTCCCCCTCCAGGGAGCAAATATGGCCATTCAGCATTACTTGGCTGCTTTCTGCACCCACCTTGTCCACCTCTTTCCCAACCCCTAAGAGTTACCCAGTGTGACTCATCCCCCTCCTTGTGATACCATTTCAAAGTTCAAAAGTTATTACAATTACAAAATGGACTTTTGGTTCAATTTTTATTTTGTGTTGTTTAGGCTGTTTAATTGTTTTGTTTCTAATAAATATTGAAGAGATGAAGATACCATGAAAAAATGACAGAAATATTGAAAGAGGTGTATTTTAAAAATGCAGGAAATGACAAGTTGGATCAAAGTTATACAGTAGAGTTATACAGTAGAGTCTCGCTTGTCCAACCTTTGCTCATCCAATGTTCTGTATTATCTAATGCAGTCTGCCTCCCATTCAGATTCACAGCTGTTTCATTACATTGTGATGTTTTGGTACTAAATTAGTAAATACAGTAATTACTACAGAATGTTACCGTGTATTGAACTGTGTTTTATGTTTGTTTATAATAAAACCTGATGTTTTGGTGCTTAATTTGTAAAATCATAATGGGACTTGATGTTTAATAGGCTTTTCCTTAATCCCGCTTCTTATTATCCAACATTTTCGCTTATCCAATGTTCTGCCGGCCCGTTTATGTTGGATAAGCGAGACTCTACTGTACTTAGAATTGACTCACTGAAATCAATAGGATTTAAGTCATCCCTACTAACACAGAGATCCAGTGCATGAAACTAGCCTGTTCTATTATATATTGCATCCTGGAATAATTTGAATTTGCCAAGCCTTTGCTGCAGGTTGATTTTTAAAATATCACCTTGTGCTAGGTTTAGAATTAAGGATTCACCCACAGCATTGACTAAATCTTCCAATATTAATATATTTCCATTTTATTTATTTCAAATATGTATATTTTTTGTGTTGTTATGTTTTATATAGCAAAGTGTTTCTAGTATTTTGGAGCTCAGTATTCGGTGTTTTCAAATCCAAATGTCTCTTCTTCATAAGCTTTATAACATTTCTCCATATTAGGACTGATCTGACAAGTTTCCACTGACGCTACATGACCTACCTTACTAGTGGTCAGAAAATGTTCCCCAGTTAAATTTGATTTGCCTATTGCCCAGTCTTCTTGAAAGTTTATTTGTGGACAAACATCTTCTGAAATGCTATCTGCCATAGAGCAGCTTAGAAGATCTTTGACATCATAGACATTATTGTCACCATACTTCAGTATAGGAGGCTTGTAGGCCTCAAGGGACATCTTAGTTGTTGTAGTTATAACTGTTTGCAAAGCTGGAACCTCCAAGGAGGAAAGACTACTATATCTACAAGTATATTCTTCGCTATAATGGGGATGATTAGCATTGAGTTGACATGGCCCATAGCCAATCCGTTCTCCACAGTTTGTTTCCCCCGAGCTTTGTCTCAATCCATTGTACTTATGGGTGGTGTCAGAGTTCTTTTCATGGACATTTAATGAATTTACATGATACTGGAGTCCATTCAGCAGAATGTGATCAGAATCCACTGGAATATTCATTGCATCTTTATGAAAAGTTGAGCACAAACTAGGAGCCATGTAGCCAGGAAAGGCACACTCATAACCAACGCCTGGTTTACATGTGTAGATTTGGGAGCTTGTGTAGTTCTGGAGTGGTGCTACCACATTTTCTTGGAAGTTGGAAGCATCATAAGTAATGTATGGTTCTGCATTTTGAAATAAATGATGGGACTGAGGTAGGAGTGGCAAACTGGTATCAGTGACTATGCTGAATTTTTCCGGTCCTTCTTCACATGCCAGATGATGAATGTAATGAAAGTGACTGGCATTCTCATTACATGTTCCTGTCTAAAAAGAATATAAATTAGAAGACTTTGGAAATCATTCCTCATGCAATGTTGCCAATGACGATTTAAAATATTTTTATTCTGTGCTTATATATATATCTGTGATATGCTTCTGATTCAGACAGATCACAAACACTAGTCTGCATTGAGCTAATTCAGAAAGATTTAAGTTATGTCCAAATTAACATAGACCTATCCAAAGCAGACTTTTAAGATGATATTTAGCAATATTAATTTGGATGGACACATATAACACAAATAAGTTGTGATCCTATAGCAGGGGCTGCACAGTGTAAATTTCAACAAGCAGTGTAATGCTACATGGTCTTTATGTAGTTGTATTACTGAACCAAAACAAGAATTTCACAACTAAATGTGTTTGCACATCTTTGCTTAATGGGCATTGTTTAAGGCACATGAATGAATCACATGTATGTGCATCAGTGGGCAAAGGCCCAGCACTCAGGCCTCTGCCTGTGCAATCTTAAACTGAATGTGGTCATTCTACATTGGACAAAAATGTCCAACAACTTTTGTAAGGAGTATTAATAATATGCTAAAGAATTATCATATTGTGTTATCATGGAAGTGTTATTCTACTTTTATTGCCATCACTATGTCCCATGAAATTCTTGTGTTTGTAGTTTAGTGAGGTCTAAGAACTCTCTGGCTGAGAATCCTAAATGTCTTTCCCCACGACTACAAATCCCATTCTATAGATTGTTGGAGTGGTAATTTAAAAACAATATATATATGTAATGTGAGAATAACCTAATACACCAAATAAATTACAGCCATATTGAGTTTCCAAAACATTCTCTTACTGAATCTATCTGAAAATATAGTTGGTGTCCATTTTGCATCTTTGTTTTCTGTTTAATTCAGTGATACACCAAGATGTTATTCCATTCATTTATTTATATGTATGCATATATGCATTTGTTACATACATTTGTGAATTAGCATAGCAGTCTACATTCAGATTTAAATGTGGTATTTCCATCAACATCTCTAATGATGCATGCCATCTATATTTACCTGAAACTCCAGAAGCCTTTTTTTCTGTGATGGGTGAGAAGATGGTGATTGCTTTTTAAGAGCACTTCTTCTGACCTCTGTCTCAGATTTACTTTCTGGTCTTGGGTGGTCATGCAATCCTTTGGCCTATAATATTGACACACAAATGTTTTTCTTAATTTAAAATAGTGTATAATTGTAGATATATCAATCCAGACCTTCATTTAACTGCTTAGGTGTAACTGAAATTGGTTGACAACTGAAAGACCCTATTTAATTGATTTCATCGCCATACATTATTGCCATCTCCTAAATATCACCAAAGTCTTTAATATTGAATTTCTTCACTGGTATTTTTTGTTTCATCAAATATTGTGTCCATAACAGTGTATCACTAATAACAGTCAAGATGACCTTCATGGCTAGATAGTTTTGGACACAATCCTCCTGTAATTTTCCTTTATGAACTTGATACAAATTAAAGTAGAGAAAACTGACACTAGTGGAAAGATGGGCAACTTGTACTCCTCTAAGTTTTTTTAATTATAACTCACATCATACCCAGTCAGCACAGCTAAGGCTAGAAGTGAAGGGTAATGACAACTGCAGCAGAACAACATCTGGTGGAGACTTGTTCACAGATGGTGACAGTAGCTAGGATCTAAAGGTGTATTTCAGTCATGTATATGGGCACATCAAATGGAATTTATGACTTTTTCTCCCTGGTCTGAAAAACAGGTTATCTGCCATGCAAGAATGAGAGTCTCTTGTTGCATCTGTTCAAGTTATTTCTGACATTTCCTAAGTTGAAACTTAAATAAATAAGTTGAAACCGTCATGGGGGTTTGTCAGCAAGATTTGTTCAGAAGAGATTGACCATTGCTTTCCTCTATGGCTGAGAGAGTATGACTTGTCTCAGGACGTTTCCATGGCTGAGTGGGAATGTAAACCTTGGGGCCCTTCCACACAGCCCTATATCCCAGAAAATCAAGACGGAAAATCCCACATTATCTGAGTGTGGAGTCAGATAACCCAGTTCAAAGCAGACATTGTGGGATTTCCTGCCTTGATATTCTGGGATATAGGGCTGTGTGGAAGGGCCTTTAGACTTCCAGAGTCCTAGGGCCCTTCCACACAGCTCTATATCAAGGCAGAAAAGCCCACGTTATCTGCTTTGAACTGGTTTATCTGAGTCCACACTGCCATATATTCCAGTTCAAAGCAGATAACGTGGGATTTTATTCAGCTGTGTGGAAGAGGCCCTAGATCAGCACTCAAAGCACTATATCACTTAGCCATGCAAAATTAGTAATGGCTCCTTGAAAACAACACCTTGGAATACACTGAATAATAAAATTATTGACAGAGCTTGTAATCTGACCATTGATGTGTGACAGCATGAACTCAATAGAATTTATTTCCCTGTCAAATGTTAAGAAAGGATGGTCATAGATGACTAACTGATTATGATAAGGAAAGAATCCAGTATGTATTTCTGTTATAATCCCCTTTCTGCTGTAGGTGAACAATGGTTTGACATATTTCCTTTTTTTTTATTGACATAATGCAAAATGCTCACTTTTAAAAATAATTAAGAAATTTGCATTGCATTTGTACTTTACCTGGAAAAATATTGCTTTGCTTTCATGTCTCCAAAAATTAGTCACTGGGTAGCCACTATGCCCTCGACAGGGAATTAACTCAAGAGCTGAACTGCAGTTTGGACAATGCTTTCCTGGAGCAAAAAAAAAAATGTTAAAGTAATTCAGATAGAGAATCAGATGGGAGAACCCTCTGTTCTGAAATGTCAACTTCAAAACAAAGCAAAGAAGATCAATTCTGAAAGAGAGAATAACAAATCAAAACTTTCAAATGGCATATCTGTTTTCATAACACTTGCAGACATTATGCCTCTTCCCATTCTATGTCATCCATGGAACCTGCCAGCAGCTTCCCCTTTTTGCAGCACTGGGATGTCCATCCAATTCTCTGAATTTGATTAGTTCTTGTTCCAAAAATCAACAGGCTTGCCCCCAAAGATGTAGACAACTTGAGAAAGAACGGGTCATAAGTTTATTTCACCAAGCAAGATATAGGCTGTGTATCCCATATCTGGCTTAGGGCCAAAAGTATTTTGGATTACTTTTAATTTGGAATACTTGTATTTGCATATGCTTGCATAATGAGATATCTTGGTGACTGAATCCAAGTCTAAACTTGAAATCTATTTAACATACATCTTATATACCTAGCCTGAAGGTAATTTTATACACAATTACTTAAATAATTTTGTGTATGAAACAAAATTTGTGTACATTGAGGCATCAGAAAACAAAAGTGTTACACTTTCGCGCCCCCCCCCCCTCCAATTGTAGACAAATTCAGATTTTGCATTATTTCAGATTTCTGAATTGCAGTTAAGGAATGCTCAACCTGTATTATAAGGATCATGTACAACAGCTGTTGTGATTTTTGTTTAAATGATTAAACATGTACAAGTACTCTTGCTGACTAAGATGGAAGATAAGGATTCACAGTTCTGACTCAAGTTTCATGTTTGACAATCACAGAAAGGTTCACAGGAGGTTTATCTTACAGTTTAATGTTTGGTAGTCACCTTAATATTTGGTAGACAAAATGATCTTCTAAGCAAGATGGAAAAAACATGCATATGGGGGAAGGTGTTAAATCAGGACTAGATGTAGTTCAAGTATGCAAATCTCACATTGACTCTGTGTAATTGCTTTAGGTAAATTGCCCTTTATTTAGTCTGATATTATCCCCATATAGATAGTTGATATTAGTGGGGCATTCTTGTGTCTTCCATCATCTCAACATCCTTCCTTCAAAAAAGAAAGACAAATCCTCAATATCAAGGATAGAGAAGTTGAGACCACCATTTATGCCGGCTAAGGCTGATTGGATGGCAATCCGACAACATCTCTTCACTAAACCCAACTGTAGTCCAAATTAAACTAGAACTAACAAGTCCTATTGATTTTCAATTGGATTGTTCAGTAGTGTATGTGTGTGCCTTCAAGTCACCTGCCAACTTATGGCAACCCCATTAATTTTCTAAAGATCTATTTTTCAATAAATATTCATAAGTGGTCTTGCTAGTTCCTTCCTCCGAAATAAAGGAGGCCCTAGTGGCGCAGTGGTTTATATCGCTGAGCTGCTGAACTTGTTGACCCAAAGGTCGCAGGTTCAAGTCTGGGAAGTGGCATGAGCTCCCACTATCAGCCCTAGCTTCTGCCAACCTAGCAATTCAAAAACATGCAAATGTGAGTAGATCAATAGGTACCGCTCTGGCAGGAAGATAATGGTGCTCCATGCAGTCATGCCTGTCACATGATCTTGGAGGTGTCTATGGACAATGCTGGCTCTTTGGCTTAGAAATGGAGATGTGCACCAACCAGGCCCGTAGCCAGGATTTTGTTTCGGGGGGGGGGGGGGATTTCGGGGGGGGGTTTCGGGGGGGCTAGGGGGGGGGGGGCTGAGTCTGAGTGAAAGAGTGTCTACCCTAGCAAACCTTTTGTATCATTACCCCAATACCCCCATGCATATGGGATATATTGAGTATGGTGATCAGATCATGATATGAATAAACATAACAGTTTAAATAATGCACCAGTAAGGCCTTTTCGTGAACCACCATGAGAATTTCGAGGGGGGGGGCTGAACCCCCCCCCCCCCCCCCCCCCCCCCCCCCCCCCCCCCGGCTACATGCCTGGCACCAACCCCCAGAGTCGGACATAACTGAACTTAATGTCAGGGGAAAACCTTTACCTTTACCTTTTACTCCTCTGAAATATAGCCTGCAGAACCTGACATGCATTGAGAGTCCTATTCAAGTATGAACTCATGCCAATCCTGTTTAGCTTTCACAATCAGAGTGGATTGACTTCTACATTCATGGAGTAACAAATCTCCTCCAGGTTTCAGCCCAAACAATCTATCTGAGGTACAATAATAATATGATACTAAAACTTGATTTATACCCTGCCTCCATCTTCTGTAGGGACTCAGGGCGGCTTACAAATAGCACACGATGGTGCCATACAACATATAAATACAATATATCAGCATTTAAACCAACAACACATTTAAAACCAAACATACAAAATTTGCAACAGCAATAAGGTAAAGGTTGTCCCCTGACATTAAGTCCAGTTGTGTCTGACTCTGGGGGTTGGTGCTCATTTCTAAACTGAAGAACCGGCGTTGTCCGTAGACACCTCCAAGGTCATGTGGCCGTCATGACTGCATGGAGTGCTGTTACCTTCCCACCATAGTGCTACCTATTTATCTACTCACATTTGCATGTTTTCGAACTGCTAGGTTGGCAGAAGCTGGGGCTGACAGCGGGAGCTCACGTCGCTCCCCAGGTTCGAACCTGCAACCTTTCAGTCAACAAGCTCAGCAGCTCAGTGGTTTAACCCACTGTGACACTGGGGGCAAGAGCAATAGAATCAATAAAATATGGCAGCACCCTATTCCCAAAATAGGATAGTACCTTTAAGGTCCATACTAAATGTCAGAATTGGTTCGCTACCCCACTGATGTCTACTGATAATTCAGAACTAAAATTTATTTGGCCTGTTAGAATTGTGCCATTTTATAAAAGTAATACTGAAGTCATACAATAGGTTCCCAGTGGGTGCTACACACAGAATTGGGGGTTGCTCCTAGAGTATTGTTGTATTTTCTTCATGTATGTATTGTCAATCCAAGTGTTGTAAATTTCAGTATAATTTTTCCATATGTAATTAAGAATTCAGTTATAGAGTCAGCTCAAAAAAAGAAAAGAAAAGAAAAGAAAAGACACCCCATGTGAAAAACATTGCTTTATCCCCTTGCTCTCACTCTGTTGCTTTTGACGAGCTTTATCGCATATAGCGGGGCGAAGCTGCAGCTTGGTCCCATCCAGAAGGGTGCAATTCCTGGCACATACCACCACACCAAGGCAGGACTTCTTGAGAATTTGGCAGTTGTGGTTGTTAGTGTTGCGCATAGCCCAGCCACTGAGGTGCCTCTGTGCATTTTTATCTTCACTGGAATAAATGAACCGCAGGTAGCCATCTGGCCACTCCTGGAAGGAATCAAAGTGCTTGGGCTCCTGGCATCAGAGATAAAGGTATGAACAAAAAGAGGAGGGGAAAGTGGGCAAAAAGTATAGTGGCATAACATTTCAGTTTTATAAAAGGAGACCAAATTCAATACGAGTTCAAGTTTCACAATATCAGTAAGAGAGATGTTAATTGTACAATACAATGCCTCAATTTTCTGAGCACAAGACACAGGCTGGAACTACATTACCGTATAATGCAGTTTGAACTGCATCATGTGTTCAATGTAGACCCATATAAGGCAGTTCAAATTGTATTATACGGCAGTGTAGATCCAGCCATACAGGTAGTTTTTCCATATAAGTAATTTCTCAATGTGTCATCAAAGGTTTTCATGGCTAGAATTACTGGGTTGTTGTGTGTTTTCTGGGCTGTATGGCTATGTTCCAGAAGCATTCTCTCCTGATGTTTCACCTGCATCTATGCATAGATGCAGGCGAAACGTCAGGAGGGAATGCTCCTGGAACATAGCCGTACAACCCAGAAAACACACAACAACCCAGTAATTTCTCTGTTGGAATCTAAGAAGCTGCCTGAGTGAGCTCCACACACACATTTCTAAAGAATGCCAAGTTGTATTTTAAGTTGCACATTTTTATATATATTACGGTACTTTTTAAATCACCAGATCCCGTCGGAACTTGAAAGCTAATCAGGATCATGCCTTGTTGTTACTTGGAAGGAATATATAGTTAAGGAATATCACAGGGATAGTAAGATGTATTTCAAAAGAATGCAACAGAAAACCACTTTAGAGTAATCCTTGTTTTAGAAAATCTGATAAATGAATGTGTGTTAATGTATAGTGACCCAGTGAATTTCTTATGGGTTTTCTTAAGACAATAAATATGCAGACATGGTTTTGCCCGTTCCTTTCTCAGAGACATAGCTCACAACATTTGGTACTTATTGACAGTCTCCCATCCAATACTAACCAGTACTGACCCTGCTTAGCTTCCCAAATTAGAAGGATCTGATGACTTTAATACATTTAGTCCATTGGGTTCACCACAAATTCACAGGCAACCTGAAGGCACATTTCTCAAGATTGCTACAACATAAGTATTCCAACCAGATTGCCCAATTCTACTTAAATCAATAAAATATGTTGCGAGCTTGCAGTTGTGCAAATGCCAACATGCTGAAATGGCATTTTCTTGTTAACATATTTGTAGTAAGCAACATGATTTCCCAACTCACTTTGCCAATTTCTTGTTTAAAACAGTATCTTTATAGAGCAGCTTTACACACCCTTCTTTCATCTTCTGGCAGGAATGGATTAATTGGCAAATATTAACAAAAATAGCAGTGAGCAAAACATTCCCCTTATATATACATGCATACATCACTATTTTTTCATCTTTTTCTTTTCCTTTAATGGAAGGAGTGATTTTTCCCCCTGTACTGGAGCAATTATCCAGGCAGATATTAAAAATGTAAAAAGGTCTCCATCAAATGCATGTAGACTGAATAAAATACCATTATTGCAAGTCTATGACTTGTAGGGATCATCATTTGAATGATATTAATTTAGTTTGACATGTGCTTTGTTTTGCAATGTGGAAAATGGGAATAGAGAAGAATTCTGCTCAGTTAAAGTTAATTTCATGTCTCCTGCAACCAGTTTTGAGACAAAGCATACCCTTTTCAAGAAATGCACACATTTATGAAACTAGCAATGCATTTCAGAGGAATAAAGCATGCTCGAAACCTTGAATACTACTGAGCAAAGCTGACGTTTATAGCTAAAAATGAAAAAAAATGAATTCACAATTCACAAGCACACATTAATAATTATACACACATGAGTGACCCATACAGATATACCAAAATATACATTTATTTCCATGTTAGAAATATATCTGTCTCTCTTTCAGACAGAGGCAGAACTGGTATGGGAGGAAAATACTTGTAGAATTTGGAAAAATACAACAAAAATGAAGCTAATACAAGTTTAGACAAAATGCCCTTAGAAATTTGGCCCACAAAAACGTATTGGTATGTTGCTCCCTTTCTTCCAAACCTTTTGTCCTGCCCACTACCTGTGGTAACTTGGGGTCGTTGATGTCCCATGTTAGCTTCATCCCAAAGGAACAAATGTAGGCAGAGTTCTCAAAGTGGTCCTTTGACATGTTTCTTTATCACCTAGAAGGACAGGATGCCAGCAAAAAAAAGAAAGAAAGAAATAAAGAAATAAAGAAAGAAAAAGGAATATGACAAATATCTACTTTCTCTTTCTTACCAGGTGAGAATTACACTTTCATTTCTAGATGTAAAAAAAATCTCATTGAGAAAAATCTTAGAATATCATTTTTCCCATCAAGTGGACTGTCTTTTAAATGCATTACTATGACTGTATAAAAACACACTACCAATTATAGCATATCTAAGTGCATGGAAAATTAACTTTTTGAACCTATTCTCAAAATCTCTCCAAGTGGTTCTTAAAAGTATACTTACACATTTACTCTGCGAGCATAGCATTTTTTTAAATGAAGCAGAGTGTTTGAGGAGGTTGAGGTTCATAGGGATACCAAGGTGCTTGTTTTTAAAGCTCTTGTTTTTCCAACTCTGTTGTATGCCTACAAAACATGGACCATCTATAAACATCCCTCTCAACTTCTGGAAAGATTCCGTCAGTGTTTCATCCCATCTCTTGGGAAGAAAAAGGGACAAATATCAGCATTCTGGAAGAAGCAAAGACCACCAGCACTGAAACGACAATTCTCCATCAACAACTTCGCTGGACCAGCCACATTGTCCGAATACCTGATCACTGTCTCCCAAAGCAGTTATTCAGCTCAACAATGGAAAACGGAATGTTTGTAGACAGCAAAAGAGATTTAAAGATGGGGTTAAAGCAACCCTAAAACAATGTGGAATAAACACTGAGAACTGAGAAGCCCTATCACTCATGTGTTCTAACTTCAGGTAGGCTCTTACCAGCAGTGCTGTGGATTTTGAAGAGGTACAAATACAGAATGAAAGGGAGAAATGTGCCAAGAGCAAGGCATGTCAAGCAAACCCTTGTCACAACCATCTTCAATCTGGAATTGTATGTCCTCACTGTGAAAGACCATGAGGATCTAGAATAGATCTCTACAGTCACTTACAGACCCATCAGCAAGACTCTACCCCTGGAAAACAATCATATTTGGCATATGATGACAAGACAATGAGGTTGTAGAGTATAGTGGTGTTGAGTTGACACAGGCAGATAATATCCAATGTGTAAGGAAAAACTATGAAATTCTTGCCTGAATGGACATATATTGCAGGCATGCATGCTATTTTGCTCACTTTTGGGTACCAACTGTAGAAATTTTGATCTCTCACACTGGCAGCTTATTAGCTTAGCAAGTAGCCTTGTGACACAGTACATTGTTGCCTATGATACAAGTAGAGAGGAGCCTGAGATAAAAGTGAATTTGCTAAGGCCAGGCTGGGGCAAAGGAATGACTGGACAATGACTTAGTCAGGATTATTTTAAGACAGTCATTCTTAGTCACACAAATATACTTCCCAGGATAAAAGTGGGATAGGAGAGAACAATGTAGACAGATTTGAGATCCTTGAAAGAAAGGAAATATTTGGGTTTACCTAAACTGTAGAATGAATGCAGTTTGAAACCACTCTAGCCACCATGGCTCAATGCATTGGAATCACTAGAGTTGTAGTTTTACATGGTCTTTAGCCTTCTCTGCCAAAGGGTGCTGGTGCCTCACCAAACGACAAATCCTAAGACTCCATAACATTGAGTCATGGCTGTTAAAATGGTGTTAAACTGCATTTATTCTATAATGTAGATGCAACCCTTGATGTAAAACATATTATAGTAGTACAAACGCACCAGATCTTGCATGGTGTTGACAGCTAAGCAGTGTCAGCTCTGGTTACTACTTGGATGAGAGACTATCAATGAATACCAGATGCTGTGGGCTCTATTTCAGAGGAAGAAACTGGACAAATCAACTCTGAGTATTCCTTGCCTAAGAAAACCCCATAAAATTATGGGATCACCATAATTCAACAGGAGACTAGAGTTCCTAGAATCCTAGAATCCTAGAGTTGGAAGAGACCACATGGGCCACCTAATCCAAACCCCTACCATGCAGAAAAAGCACATTCAATCTACCCCTAAAAATGGCCACCCAGTCTCCTTCTCTCCAAGGAAGGAGCTTCCACCAGATTATGAGGCAGAGAGTTCCACTGTTGAACACCTCATACAGTCAGGATGTTTTTCCTAATATTCAGGTGGAATCTCCTTTCCTGTAATTTGAACCCATTGCTCCGAGTCCTGGTTTCCAGGGCAGCAGAAAATAAGCCTGTTCTCTCTTCTTTATGACATCCTTTCACATATTTATACATGGCTATCATGTCTAAATATACCCAGCTTTTTAAGATGCTCCTCATAGGGCATGGTCTCCAGACCTTTGATCATTTTAGTTGACCTCCTCTGGACATGTTCCAGCTTGTTAATGCCTTTCTTGAATTGTGGTGCTCAGAATTGGTCACAGTATTCCAGGTGAGGTCTGAATAGAAGGCACCATGACTTCCCTTGATCTAGAAACTATACTCCTTTCGATGCAGTCCAAAATCCCATTGGCTTTTTAAGCTGCTGCATCACATTGCTGACTCATGATCAATTTGTGGTCTACTAAGACTCCAAGATCTTTTTCACATGGACTGCTGTAGAGCCAAGCGTCACCCATCCTGTATCTGTGTATTTCATTTTTTCTGCCTAAGTGTAGCATCCTACATTTGTCCTTGTTGAAATTCATTTTGTTAGTTTTGGCTCAGCTCACTAATCTCTTAAGGTCATTTTGAATTCTGATTCTGGTATCTGGAGTATTATCTTATCTCTCCTAATTTGATATCATCAGCAAACTTGACAAGTATGCCCTCTACACCTTCATCTAAATTATTAAACAAATGAAATAGCAAGGAAGAACTTGGAGTGGCAAAGGGCACAATGGGACTTACCTTTGAAGAAAGCTACAAGGACTTGCTTGCTGGGCCTTTTTTGTATGATTTATTCCTGGCCTCTGTCCACTGCCTTAGGTGCTGAAATCATTCAGGAGCTGCTCTTTCCATCTCGCCTCTCCTTCTGGATTACGCCTGTGAGGAAAAGCACTTTTTCTGCCCTAACCTTCACCCTCCCACATACCTGATCTCCACCTTGGGAAAACCACGTGGGTGGAGGTGGGAGCTCCTCCTTTCTTCATCCCTAAAAGGGAGGTGTAAGGCTTCATTCCCCCAACTCTATGGGTACATCTGCACTTTAGATTTTTTTTTAAATTAAAAACTTTAAAAAAAAGAAGTTGGGAATTAAAAAACAACAACACCAAAAATAAAATGAAACCACAGACACTAAGGTAAAACAAACAAAACAAGGACATCAAATTCAAAAATATAATCCCTTAATGCTCCATTTCTACAACTATCTCACCCCTGTATCCTTCCTTTTAAAAATACATTACAACAGTTTTTTTTTAAAAACTACAACTGACATTCCCCCTCCCCAAGACAAATGTTATAATATATTACCATTTTACTAGTTCTATCAACTTCCAGTAAATATAAGGAATATTAAAATTAATGCATAATTCCTGCCTTGGTTCAAGTCTATTGGGTCCCATGAGTTGTAGTCAAATCTTTACAAACTCTTTAGCCTCTCCTGTCAAAGAATATTGTTACCTCACCAAATTATACATTATGTAACTCTGAACCCTGGTAGTTAAAGTGGTGTCAAATTATTTAATTCTAGAGTGTAGATGCATCATGGATTGTTTCAGAGACTCCAGGTTTAAGACATGCTTTGAGCATGTACAGTTTTGCATGTTAGACTCTCTGAAATCATGACACCATCCCTTTATGTGTGTGTGTGTCTGTGTCTTCAAGTCGCCTGATGATTTACGGCAACCCCATTAACTTCCTAAGGTTTTAGAAGGTGCATCTACACTGTGAGATTGATGCAGTTTGACACCACCTTTAACTGTTATGGCTCAATGCTACACAATCCTGGGAGTTACAGTTTGGTAAGGCACCAGAACTATTTTGGATAGAATGTGAAATAGTGTGCCTCCCAGGATTCCATAGAACTGAGCCATGGCAGTTGGTGTAAAACTGCATTAATTCTATAGTGTAGATGCCCCCTTAGCCCAAGAATTATCAGGGGCAGTTTAGCCAGTTCCTTCCTCAGAAATACTGTATAACTCACATCACTTGGTCAGTAGCGCTCCGACAGCTAGATCAGCTGTCACAATTTAAGACAAAATTGAAGCCTTATCTCTTCTGGCAGGCCTACCCTGATGGTTTTAATGATGAATTTTAAATATCCACATTATGTCTAATTTTTGCATGTGTATTTTAATGTGTATTTTGTGGAAATATGTTTTAGTATTAATATGTGTATTTTGCAGAGTATTTTTAAATGATTATGTGTTTTAGCAATATTATAACCCACCTCGAGCCATGAGGAGAGGAAGGAAAGAAATAATAATAATAATAATAATAATAATAATTATTATTATTATTATTATTATTATTCCTTGGGGTATTAACACTCAAGTCCTAATCAGACTGAAGCATTAAAATGAAAATTGTTTCTCTGTTGCTAGATGCTTTTCCTTGGGAAAGCACTACATTTTATTGTTGGCAGGCAAATTTTGAAGCAAAAATAAGAGACCCAATTAGGTAGATGGTTCTTACGTGTTTTAGCAGGAAAGATGTTATCTGTTCAAGTGAACTCCTGCAAACTTTGAAGCTGGCAGTCTGGGCCCTTCCACATGGCTAACATCTTAACTTTGAATGGGATTATATATTTAAGACTGGAAGGAAAATTCTACGAAATGATACATCTTTAATCAGTAGACTTGCATGGACAGAGCCTCATTTTTAATTATGTTGTGGCATGCTCTCCTAAGGACAAACTGTGGCCCAATCTATAAGGTAAAGGTCCCCTGGCATTAAGTCCAGTCATGTCTGACTCTGGGGTGTGGTGCTCATCTCCATTTCTAAGCTGAAGAGCCGGCATTGTCCATAGACACCTCCAAGGTCATGTGGCTGGCATGACTGCATGGAGCACCGTTACCTTCCCACCGGAGCGGTACCTATTGATCTAGTCACATTTGCATGTTTTCGAACTGCTAGGTTGGCCCAATCTATACTGCCATATAATTCAGTTTCTGAATCTAGATTATCTGCCTTGAACTGGGTTATGTGGCAGGGTAGACTCATACAATCCACTTCAAAGCAGATAATCTGGATTCAGAAATTGGATTGTATGGCACTCTAGACCCAGTCTCAGTGGGTCTTATTTTGGAGACAACATGGAAACATGGATGGGATGGGGCTATACGAAAACAAAAAAGAAAAGAAAAACACCAAGAACTTAATGCCAGTCGATACCTCTTAATCTGCCATACCTCAATGCTGTTGAAGTATAGGAGTTGTACTTTAGTGAGGCACTGGCACTCTTTAGCAGAGAAGGTTGAAGATCATGTAAAACTACAACTCCCAGGACTCCATAGCATTGAGCCCTGGCAGATGAAGGTGTCAAATTGCATTAGTTCTACACTGTAGATCAGTGGTTCTCAACCTATGAGTCCCCAGATGTTTTGGTCTTCAACTCCCAGAAATCCCAACAGATGGTAAACTGACTGGGATCTCTGGGAGTTGTAGGCCAACACATCTGGGGACCATCTGTAGATGGACCCAAAGTGTTTAGGCTGGGAAAATAAGCTTCTATAAGAAGTGGACTGTGGTCCAGGGGTTCAAAACCTTATGCCAAATGAAATCTGTTAGTCTTTTAAAGCACTCCAAAACTTTCTTGTGTTAGTTACACTAGTTCAAGCAATCTGGAGTGAGTCTTGAATCTAAACCAGTCTCCTTTGCTTGCAAATGAAACCACTTGCTGACAAATGGTTGCAATCTTCAGGTGTGCCTTATTTCCAATAGTTCTCGCCTATAGTGAAAAATGATTGGTGACAAACAATTGCTTTAATGTTGAAACTGAAAGAGTAATTGTGCAGGACTTACGTTGAAAGTAGTTGTTATAATCCAGAAACTTCACTTTTGTGGCTGCCACAAACTAAGTTGCATTGGTTGAGACTTCATGAGATATTTCATTGAAAAACTAGTGCAAAATGTGCTGGAAGAGGTCCCACAAAAGCAAGGTTTTTTTTACAGTTTAATAAACCTTTTCTTTGTTGTTATGATAGACCCAATTAGGAAATATTTCTAACCCAGGAACAAAAATTGTGTTACATAGTGTAATTCATGCTTCAAAACAGAATGTATTCCTGATTTATTTTACAATTAACTGATAAAGCAAGAAATGTTGAAAATGATTCCCAAAGTTATGACAGAATGAAACCTTGTAGACTTACCCTCCCCTCCTCCATTCTTCTTCTCCTCCTCGCCTCCTTCCTTCTACTTCCTTCTCCTTCTTCAAAATCCACTTTCCTTCTTCTTTTTCCTTCTTCTTTCTCCCTTCTCCTTTCATACTGCTCTTTCTTTCTTCTTTTTTCTTTTTCTTCCTCCTCCCATCTTCCTTCTCCCACTTCCTTCCTCCTCTTCCACCCTCTTCCTCCACTTTCTTCATTTCCTTCTCCTTTTTCGCCTCCTTCTTCTTCTTTCTCCTTCTTCCTCCCATTCTCCTTTTCACACTGCTCCTTCCTCCTCCTCCCTCTTCCTCCTCCACCTTCCTTCTTCTTCCCCCTTCTCCTCCCCTCTTCCTTCCTCCCCTTTCTTCATACTCATTCTTCCTTTCTTTCTCCTTCTTCCTTCTCCTTCCTATTCCTTTTCCCTTTTTCTTCCTTCTCTCCTTATTCTTCTCCTCCTTCTTCCTCCCCCTTCTCCTCCTTTCTTCTCCTCCTTCCTTTTTGCTTCTTCTTCTCTCCTTCTCCTCTTTCTTCATACTCCTCCTTCCTTCTTCTTTCTCTTCCTTCCTCTTCCTCCCCTTCTCCACCTTCCTTCTTCTTCCTCTTCCTTCCTTCTCCTTCCTCTCCTTCCTTCTCCTTCTCCATACTCATCCTTCCTTTCCTCCTCCTTATTCCTCCTCCCCTATCCCCTTCTTTTCATACTGCTCCTTCCTCCTTCTTTGTCCTTCTTCCTCCTTCTCCCTTCTCCTTCCTTCTCCTTCTTCCTCCTCATTTTCACACTGCTCCTTCCTCCTTCTCTCTTTCTTCCTCCATCTCTTCTTCTTCCTCTTCTTCTTCTTCTTCTTCTTCTTCTTCTTCTTCTTCCTTCTTCTCCTCCTCTCCTCCTTCCTTCTCCTTTTCCATACTCATCTTTACTGTCCTTCGCCTTCTTCCGCCTCCCTTCTCTTCCCTTTTTTTCATACTGCTCCTTCCTTCTTCTTCCTCCTCTTCCATCCTTCCTTCTCCACCTTCCTTCCTCCTCTTCCTTCATTCTTCTCCCCTCCTCCTTCCTCTTCTCCTCCATACTCATCCTTCCTTTCCTTCTCCCTCCTCCCTTTCCTTCCTTCTCCTTTTTCTGTCTTCTTCTTCCCTCCTCCTTCTTCATACTCCTCCTTTCTTCTTCTTTCTCCCCCTCCTTCCTTTTCCTTTTTCCTTCTCCTCCTCCTTCTTCATACTCCTCCTTCCTTCTTCTTTCTCCCCCTTCTTCCTCTTCCTCCCCCTTCTCCTACTTTCTTCTCCTCCTTCCTTTACCTTCTCCTTCATCTTCCTCCTTCTCCATTTCCTTCCTTCTCCTTCTCCCTCCTCCTCCCCCTCCTTTTGTGGTGAGTATTCATCACATTTGCTAAATTTTGTTAACCCAAGTTAGGATTGTGTCCATTGCTGTCGCACCTGGAGCCCACACGAGGAATCCGTGGGATCCACCTAAATGCAGGCTTACCAAAAATGCTCTGCTCTATTTGGGACGAGTAATTGGATTTAGCCCTCGTCTTGCTAAATATGTTTGGAAGACAGCCCCAAGCAGTATGTGGAAGTGACTCCAGATCAGGACCGAGATGTGGGAACACTCCTTGCCTAAGAAAACCCGATGGGATTCAGGTCGCCTGTGGATTTAGGGCGGCCCCTTGTATCCCACATGGTTTTCCAATGCAAGGAATGCCCAGAATTTGGCAGGTGAGGGAGAAAGAAAGCCGAGAAAAGGGGGAAATTGCAAGATGCGCCGCAGCTGCGCTCAGAGTCCTTCAGTTAAGACGAGGACTGGCTGGAGAGACGCCATGCCGCAGGTAAGCTGGGCTGTGTTGGAAATGAGTTTCCCTTCTGGAAGTCTGCTCATCCTCCCTGAGCTTTTGGCAGGGTGCGTCTTCACTACACAGTTAATGCAGTTCTATACCGCTTGATATTTCCACGACTCAATGCTATGGAATTGTGGCTTAAGGACTTGAGCCTTCCTTGCCAAAGAGGGCTGGTGTCTCAATGAATTACAAACCCTACTATTCCATAGCATTGGATGAAAGTGGTGTCAAACTGTGTTGATTCCACAGTGTAGATGCACCCCAAGACTGCCACTTTCCTAAGGGCTCCCTGCCTTTCCAATCAGTTTAAAAGACCTGACATTTTTTTCTAGGTTGCATGAATCAGTTTTGAAATATGTTTAAATTGTCTTAATTTATTTTAAAATACCCTTTTCTCAATGTTGTGCATTACATGGATAGGCATGATGGGTTGGCTAATAATTAATAATAATAATAATAATAGGCTATCAATGCTGCATTCTCGGGAAACTGCAAAATTGATGAGAAGCAATAATAATAATAATTAATTATTATTAATAATAATAATTAATAATAATACGAATCAAGGAACATGAAAGGTACTGCAGACTACTTCAACCAGAGAAGTCAGCCATAGCAGAGCACCTGATGAACCAGCCTGGACACAGCATATTATTTGAGAACACAGAAGTGCTGGACCACACCAACAACCACCATGTCAGACTACACAGAGAAGCCATTGAAATCCACAAGCATGTGGACAATTTCAACAGAAAGGAGGAGACCATGAAAATGAACAAAATCTGGCTACCAGTATTAAAAAACTCTAAAATTACAACAGCAAAACAGAGAGGAAACAACCAGGCACATCTTAACACCTCTCAACAGGGGATTTTCCCAGGCTCAGCCAGGCCTTCAAATGCTAATGAAGGTGGTCAGTTGAAACATTCACACCTAGCTCCAGCAGAGAACAGCTCTTTGCCCCACCCCAGCCATTCCACAGATATATAAACCCATTGTCCTAATTCCAACAGACCTCACTACCTCTGAGGATGCTTGCCATAGATGCAGGCGAAACGTCAGGAGAAATGCCTCTAGAACATGGCCTATAGCCCGAAAAAACCCACAAGAACCTAGTGATTAATCTTCCTTTCTGTTGAAATTGTCCACATGCTCTATAGCCTGAAAAAACCCACAAGAACCTAGTGATTCCAGCCATGAAAGCCTTCGACAATACAATAATAATAATATAATAATAATAATAATAATAATAATTTATTTATATCCTGCCACCATCTCCCCAAGGGGACTCGGGGCACCTTACATGAGGCCAAGCCCAACAGTGCAAGAAATATGCAACATACAATACGAACAGTAAAATATAATAAAAATAAAAATAAATACAAAAACAATATAAATGAATACACCAAACAATATAAAATCACAGTAATTGGGCAGGATGAATTGCAAGGATTAAAAGTTTAAAACAACTGAAAAAACAACTGGAAAAGCTTACACGATATGAAGATTTAAAGATCAAACTGCAAAGATTCTGGCACAAGCCTGTAAAGTTGTTCCCAGTAGTGATCAGCACACTGGGTACAGTGCATAAAGACCCTGGCCTGCACTTAAAAACAATCTGTGCTGACAAAATTACCATCTGTCAGCTGCAAAAGGCCACCCTATTCAGATCTGTATGCATTATCTGCTGATACATCAACACAGTCCTATACAATTGGGAAGCTTCCCATATGTGATCCAATACAAAAGCCAGCATAGTGATCTTCTTTGCTGTGTACTAATTTTATTGTGTATCTAATGATTATGGTGGTGAATAATGATGATGATTATGTTCTTACTCACTCTCCTGATGGCTCAAGGCAGTTACAACATGGCTAAAAACACATAAAGCATTCTGTAAAACACACATTTTAAAATATTTTTACAAAATACATATTAAAATACACAGAACAACGATTAAACATAAGACTAAAGTTTAAAATTCGTGATTAAAAATAGATGAAGACTTTTACAAAAAAACACACAGATTTTTATTATTAATAAATAATAGAGATGTTTACTAATAAATAAATTGCTCAGGATGTCAGCATTGAAACCAATCATTTCTCTCTCTCACACACTTTTTCTTTCCTGAAGGAAGAAGAGAGTAAAGTAAAGGAGGATGAAATACCGGATGGAACTTCACACTGTGTAACTATCACTCTATGCATTTAGAATAGTTTGCTTAATATAACAGCCCGACACATTATTTTTTGACTTTTCTCTCCTTGCTTTTCTTTTCAATAGTTTCAGGATGGGGCGAATTCTTAATGATGCTGTTTCTGATGCCAAAAAGAACCAAAAAAAGTTTGTGAAAAAGTCTTGTACTCAAGAGAAATATTCAATCTAAAGCAGTGGTTCCTAACCTTTTTTAAAACCAGAGGCCACTTGAGCAGGAACCATTCTCCAACATTAGTGCCAAAAGGGTTACAAATCAGTTTTTCGTCAACTTTAGGGCCCTTCCACACAGCCCTATATCCCAGAATATCAAGGCAGAAAATCTCCCATTATTTGAGTGTGGACTTGGATAACCCAGTTCAAAGCAGCTATTGTGGGATTTTATGCCTTGACATTCTGGGATATGGGCTTTGTGGAAGGACCTTTTGATTTGAATTGGTTATTTGGGGTGCCGATTCAGAAAATTACATTGGATAGGCCACATCAGCTTTAGTTTCTGATACAGAATTTATGGCACCCAGTAGTGGCCATCTGCCCGCCCACAGAAAACCATATTTAATAATCTAGAACTGATGGGGTCTATCCAATGCAATTTTCTTAATCAGCACCCCAAATAACTCCAGAAACAGGCCTAAAAACAAAGACATCAAGGTGTCCCCGCTTCCAGGCACCACAGGGAACGGCTCCACTGAGGGGGAGGGAGGAGAAGCAGCAGTCAGGAGGCTTGTTGTGCCTTTTGTGGGTAGTCAGCCTCTCCCCTCCCAGCATCAACATCCCCGTTGTCTCAGCACTATAAGAGGGTTTCACGAGACCAGTTGCTCTTGTTGCAACAGTGGAGTAACAGTGAGGCCACGGACAATATTTTAGTTCTTGGGGACCACTGGTGGTCCATGGATCACAGGTTGGGAACCACTGATCTAAAATAATAGCAAAGAACAAAGACAACATTTCACAAACCAGCAGAATGAAAACAGAAATAAAACCTATAAATAACATGGTTGAATATTTACCTTATTAATGACAGCCTTGATAATTCATCAAAAGTAAAACATGGTGGTGCTCAATGTACAATGAAATCCTGGATAAAAGTGTGATAGCTGGGAACAATGTTTTCAGGACTCTGACGCAGCTGCGTCTTTCACTCACTGTGCTGTCTCGCGCACGTGTTCCCCTCATTAATTCAAACCCACATTGCGCAACCAGCATAGAGTCCCAGCTAACATACTTTTGACAAATCCTGTACATACATATGCATCTCACACATATAATGGTGCTCTATGTAGTCATGCTGGCCACATGACCTTGGAGGTGTCTACGGACAACACCGGCTCTTCGGTTTAGAAATGGAGATGAGCACCAACCCCCAGAGTCGGACACGACTGGACTTAATGTCAGGGGAAAACCTTTACCTTTACCTGTATCCACTTTCCTATATGGAAGTAATATTGGTCAGGAAATGTTCCGTGTAAAGCATTGTAAGTCCAAGAAGCTGTTCCTGGCGATACTATTTAGTGTAAAATAAAGACTTAGTTCTAAGGGAATTTAAATAATAAGGATTTAAAGTCACCGTTTTTGGCCCAGGCAGGTTGTATGATTCATATGGGTATACAGTTAATTTTGTTGGGGAATCTGAGCTGTTAGGCTCAAAAATAACCCTCAGTTAGGATAATTCCAGCAATATATACCAGAGTACCAGCAGTAAACTCTATAACTAGCAGAAACTTACATGTGATAGAAGGGACAGCCTTCTAATCTTTAGGATGGCTCAGGATTGCAGAATCAGAAGTTTGGGTTCAAAAATATTTATTAAAGTAAAAAAGAAATATGTTCTTGATAGAAAAGTCTTGGAGTTAACTACCTTAATAAATCTCATCTTCTAAAGGAGGTAAATATGTATGTTTCTGCTGGTTATGGAGTTGGCCCCTGGTGCTCTGCTATATTTTGCTGGAATTACCCTGAGAGTTATTTTTGACCCTAACAGCTCAGATTCCCCAAACAGATATATTCATTCTTACCTTTCTGTTCTGTGATGTGTAGGGCTTTTAAAATACATACATTGTGCTTGTGAGATCACCACAAAATAAGTAGTTAAAGACCTAATTCATAAATAACCAAAGACTAATTCTGAAAGTGTTGATTTTGTATGTTTTATTCCAGCCACCATCATTTCTTAAGGCAAGTAAGAAACTTTCTGTTGTTTATTTGTTTATTTTCCAAGGTTGAAGTGCAATTCCAATTACAGTTGTCTCCTTGATTCAATGAGTTATTTCTAGTTGTGACTAATATATGTATGTATGTATGTATGTATGTATGTATGTATGTATGTATGTATGTAATGTTTGTTTGTGGGATTAACAGAACTCAAAAACCACTGGGGGAATTGGCACCAAATTTGGACACTATACCCCTAACAGACCAATGAGTGACCATCACTCATAAAACCCCCCCCTCCCCAAAAGTGGAGAGGACTTAAAAACTCCAAAAAGCTAAATGACAAACAGCTAAATGATGATACAGGAAAAAAAGGGAAGGAAGAGGGAGGAAAGGAGAGAGAGAAAGAAAGAAAGAAAGGGGGAGGAAAAGAAAGAAGGAAAGAGAGAAGGAAGCATGAAAGCAAAGAGCGAAGGAAGGAAGGAAAGAGGTCGAGAAGGAAGAAAGGAGAAAAAGAGGGATAAAAGAAAAAGGGGAAGGTAAGAAAGAGGTAGAGAAGGAAGGAAGAGAAAGTAAGAAAAAAGGAAAGGAAGGAAAGAGGGAGGGAAGGAAAGACAGAAGTATCGATGGAAGCAAAAAGCAAAGGAAGGAAGGAAAGAGGTAGAGAAGGGGAAGGAGAGAAGGAAAGAAAAAG